AAGGGAGTTAGAGAAGATATTTTATAAGTTATCTTCATATTCCAGCATTTCATGATTTCTGTAATTTCAGAAATAAAAGGTTCTGTGCTTCCTTTTTAAACACCCACATTCCAAAGCCTCATTACAATCTGAACTTCCTTTCTCTGTTGATGAAAAGCTTTTGTACATGCCTGTATATGCTCACAGCATTGCAAGAACTGTTTAGGGTTTCAAAAATCCTAGTGCAATCAGCCTGCACAGAAGAGAAATTAAATAGTAAAAATGCCTTTTCTGTCTCTAAATAGTGTGACCCTGAGTGATGGCTCCCACCCCACCCACTTTTGCCACTGATTTGGGTAAGTATACCTGCTGTTCAAAGACCATGTGAAATCACCTCGAAGAAGAAACTGCTCTGATAATGAGGCTTATAATTAAACAGTAATTGAAGTTTCCTGTGGTTTTATGCATGGGTCTTATCTAACACCTAAGTAGATGAACCGCACAACTTAAATGTCAGAATGGAATTAGATGCTTGTACAAGTGAGAGGAGGTCTCTGTTCAGCAATGTTGCTTCTTTAGGATCCAACTTGATTCCCAGCACTATTGTCAGAGCATCTGCACAACACTGACATCGGCTTGCACCTGCAGATCTGAGCGCCAGAGGACCATGGTCTAGCAGAGCTGACTCCTCATTCAAAACCCTTGTTTCACAGGAAATTGAAGCCCAGAGAGATAAAGTGACATGTCTCCGCCGCAGGTAGAAGAGGCAGGATCAAGGGACTTTGGAGGTAAGACTATGAGGACTTGGGGTACTTTTTGGAGGGTTGCTAGGGAGAGAAAAGAATAGAGGATAATGGCAAAGTTACTCACTTGGGCAAATGGGAAGTACCATGGACAAATGAGAAAGAGCAAGTTTGAAGGAAACACGACGAGCTCAGTTTGGGTGATCTTGAGTGGAGGTGTCTGTATGCCATACAGATAGACGTCAGGCGGACAATTAGATGTCATAAATTTGAGTCTGAGTGATAAGGTGAAGAATAAAGAGAGAAACACCACCCATGCAGCTGGTGTTTGAAACTGTTATAAAATAAGAAGGGAGAGAAGAGAAAACAGAAACATAGCCAGCAGAATATCAGCACTGAGGTGCTTTGTTAAAAATAAAACTAAATGGCACATATTAAAAAAACTAGCAACAACAAATGCTGGCGAGGGTGTGGAGAAAAAGGAACTCTCCTGCACTGTTGGTGGGAGTGCAAACTGGTCCAACCACTATGGAGAGCTGTGTGGAGATTTCTGGACCTACTAAACATAGAGCTTCCTTATGATCCAGCAATTCCACTCCTAGGTATTTACCCAAAGGACACAGAAACATCAATTCCAAAGAGCACCTGCACCCCTATGTTTATAGCAGCACTGTTTACAATAGCTAAGCTTTGGAAACAACCCAAATGCCCAAAAATAGATGACTGGATTGAGAAGATGTGGTACATATACAACATGGAATATTACTCAGCATTCAAAAAAGATAAACACATGCAGTTTGCAGCAACATGGATGGAGCTGGAAGGGATCATGCTCAGCGAAATAAGCCAGAAAGAAAAAGAAAAATACCGGATGGTCTTACTCATAGCAGGAATCTAGAAAACTTAAATAAGGGACCAGGAAAATGAATAACTGTAAGAAAGTAAAAATCACAATCAACAAACAACTATGAATCAGAGACACTCTATGAGGGGTGGGGGGGGGGAGGGGAGGGATTGGGGTCAAAATAAGGGGGTTGCAATTGTATAGGGAATATAAAAATAGAATTAAAAAAATAAAAATAAGAAAAATTAAAACTAAAATAAATAAAATAAATAAAACTAAAGAGTTTACAATGTAGCCTACAAATGAGTGGCCAGAGAGCTGGAGGGAAACTGTGCTAGAATGGTGTTCGTGAAGGCAAGGGAGACTCTTACCTTCAATGAGGTAAGAGTGTTCAATAGTCCTGGCACAGGTTGCTAGTCACTTCCCTAATATCCACTCTTCCCTTTATCATAGCTGATAAAACCCTAATTCTTTTTTAGAGCGGCAATAAATCTGCTCCCAAAAACAAACAAGAAAGCCCTAATTTTCCAGGTTTCCTTGCATCTAGAGTGGCAAATATGACATCCTTTTGGCCAATTAGATATAAGCAGGTATTTAGTTACTTGATGGGGCTGCTGAGGAAACTATTTTCCTGATGTAAATGGTCAAATAGTTGGCATCTCACTCTCGCCCTGTGCCCCTTCCTTCTGAAACTATGCTTCTAGGCCCAGAGGCACTGCTGCTAGCTCATCTGCGTGAGTATAAGACAAGCACAGTAGGTGATGGGATAAAATTAAGACTTTGAGTCCTGACAAAGGATGAGAGACTTAGGGAAGGGGAGGGTCCACCTTCACTCAGGCCACCATCTCCCTTCTTTCAACCCAAGACACATGATTCCACCCTTAAACATCCTTCAAAATCCCCTTTTTTTTTCACCACCTCATAGGCAGAATCTTCAGGCCCATGTCAGTCTTGCCTGGTGTACTGAGCTGGCTCCCCACACTTACCCCTCCAACCTGTGTTCTAACCTGCTTTACCGTCTGTCGAAGATGGAATCCTTGTGTGTTGGTCCCTGCTTAAAATATATCCATGGTTCTTCATTGCCTTACGGATAAAGTCAAAGGCCTTTACCCCCCACAGGATTGGCTTATGTTTTACATTGATCATCACATACTACGCAAGTATACATTTGAACACATTTTGCATTGTGTCAAGCATATCACATTTATTCAGTCCTCACAATGATTTCTCACGTATTTGGTGTCAATATTCTCATTTTAGAGATGGGCCAATTGATTCTCAGAGGGGTTAAATCACTTGCCTAAGGATATGCAGCTGGTTTAACTGAGGTAAGCCTGGATATCCACATTCTTTCCACCATTTTTAAAAAAGATTTATTTATTTATGCATACAAGAACTGGAGTATAGGACAGAGGTGCGGGGGTGAGAGGATTCACCAGAGACAGCTGGAAACAGAACAGGCAGACTGACTGAAATACACTGCTGAGGGGAGCAGCGGGCGAGACAGGAGAGGTCTGCTGCACCATGTGGGTTGCTCTCTGGCTGGCCAGGGATCGAACTCATGCTGCAGAGGCTGCGGATTGCTTCCTAGTGTGGTGCTTAACCCCTTGCACCACCAGGGAAGCCAACTTTCCACCATGCTTTCTTGACGTAAAAAAATGTAACGCCAAGTGCCAGCTCCAACTTGTCCCCCACTATTCCCTCCCTACCTACCCTAAATGCCCCAAACCGGCAGCCTTATTAAAGAACCACAGCCAAAGTCAGTCTTGGCCCTCCCGTCAGACGAATTTACCACGGGTCGCCGTGGGAAGGAGCCAGATTCTTCACACCAATATCACAAGGAAGGAGAGCATCGCCCAAAGTCGGAGCTGCATGGTGGGCAGGTGGGCTGGTCGGCCCTGAAGGCGAGCAGTCTCCTTCACCACCCCGCTCCTCACCCGACCCCTTGGGTCAAGGCGTCTCCTCCTCTCTGGCTGGATGTTGGGTGCGAAGTGCCAGAATGGGGGATCAGGGATTCAGGGAGCGAAAGCCCTTAACCCTTGACACAGCCGTCCTGGCTGGCGCACCACGTTGCAGTGGGATCCAAGCTCCAAGGCCACCTCCTCCAGGTGGAACACCGGGGCAGGGAGAGGAGAGGAAGGACTCTGGTGACTCTTCCAAAGCCGGAGCAAGACCCTACCCACCGAGTGCAAACTGGTCCAACCACTATGGAGAGCTGTGTGGAGATTTCTGGACCTACTAAACATAGAGCTTCCATATGATCCAGCAATTCCACTCCTAGGTATTTACCCAAAGGACACAGAAACATCAATTCCAAAGAGCACCTGCACTCCTATGTTTATAGCAGCACTGTTTACAATAGCTAAGCTTTGGAAACAACCCAAATGCCCAAAAATAGATGACTGGATCAAGAAGATGTGGTACATATACACCATGGAATATTACTCAGCAATCAAAAAAGATAAACACATGCAATTTGCAGCAACATGGGTGGAGCTGGAAGGGATCATGCTCAGTGAAATAAGCCAAAAAGAAAAAGAAAAATACCGGATGGTCTCACTCATAGCAGGAATCTAGAAAACTTAAATAAGGGACCAGGAAAATGAATATAAGAAAGTGAAAATCAAAATCAACAAAAAACTATGAACCAGAGACACTTTTTGGGGGCGGGGGGGAAAGGATTGGGGTCAGAATTGGGCGTTTGCAATTGTATGGGGGAATATAAAAATAAAATTTAATATTTAAAAAAAAAATAATAAATAAATAAAAGTGTATACATATATAAATATAAAAAAAAAAAAAAAAAAAAAAAAGACCCTACCCACCCCTCACCACTCACTCGCCCCGGGCACTGATCCTCTGCGCGCAGATAGTGCAGCCTGCCCTACTCCGGGCGCGCTTTTGCGCACCCGCGTTCGCCCAGCGCCTGGGCTGCGCCAAGTGCAGCCTTTTGAGCCCCGAGAGCTTCAGGCTGAGAGAAGGGCTAGCCGGTAACCTTCTGGGGGTTGCTGTCATTTAAATCGCGTCACCCAGGGTCCCGGCACCTCTGGCTCTTGGAGCCTGAACTCACAACCCGTGGGCAAACGGATTGGAGTCGTGTCTACCTCGAGCGGCAGCCTCGCGCCCCAGACCCTCCCCGGGCACGCAGGCGGGCTGGGCAGCCCTGCTCGGCTCGTCCTGGCAGCGGCGGAATGAACCCTGACGGTTTTAAACACCCCCACCAGGCCCCTGGGCAGCTTCCCGCCCGGATGGTCTCTCCGCTCCGGGGTCTGACCCCCCTCGCGCCCCCGCGCGTCCTGCTTTGTTTCTGAGCCTGCTCTGAAAGTGATGTAACGAGGCCAGGCTCGCGCGCCGCTTTCCCTCTTTCCAGACTAAGTCCTCCCTCCGGCACCCTGTGCTCCGCGCGCACAGTCGGGCGCTGGGCTGCGCCCTGGCTCTGCGTCCAGACCGCTGGCACTAACGGGCACTGCTGGAAAAGACTCGCGTCCACGGCGCACCTCCTGGAAGTGGACCCAGCGGGGACGGCCAGCTTTTCCTTCCATAAAAACCGAGGGGACAGACAGTTGCTGTGGAGGTTTCTAAGGAGACTCAGATTGGCTTCTTTCCTGTTCCTTGGAGACGGCAGGAACCCTCAGGTACCCCAGTGTGTGGATATTTATATGAGAGACAGGGGTTGCAAGAGAGAGAGAAGAGAAGTGGCACAGGGACAGAGAGAGAGAGTCAGCGAGTAAGAAAGAGTTGGTTGGTGGGAAACTGACTTGGCTTTTTAGTTTTACCTCACTGGACCCCTGCTCCCTGACCCACAAGCAGCCCCCCACCCTGGATGGAGTAAAAGATGCGGCCTGATGACATTAACCCGAGGACTGGACTGGTGGTGGCTCTCGTCAGTGTCTTCCTGGTCTTTGGCTTCATGTTCACCGTGTCTGGGATGAAAGGAGAGACTCTGGGGAATATCCCACTCCTGGCCATCGGGCCAGCCATCTGCCTGCCGGGCATTGCGGCCATTGCCCTGGCCAGGAAAACCGAGGGATGCACCAAGTGGCCTGAGAACGAGCTGCTGTGGGTCCGCAAGCTGCCCTGCTTCCGGAAACCCAAGGACAAGGAGGTGGTAGAACTGCTGAGGACCCCTTCGGACCTGGAGTCAGGCAAGGGGAGCTCCGATGAGCTGGCTAAGCAGGCCGGCCTCAGGGGCAAGCCGCTCCCCCAGGGGCAGAGTGAGGTACCAATGGCCAGCTCCATCACCACCTCCACACCCACGGAGGAAGGAGAATGCCAGAGTCCAGTCCAGAGCGGGCATCGGGAAGAGACATCCAGATACCTGGACGGCTACTGTCCCTCGGGCAGTTCCCTTGCCTACAGTGCCTTGGATGCCAAGTGCTCAGCCTGGGACAGGTCCGAGTGCCCTGAGCCTGAGGACAGCATCTTCTTTGTGCCCCAGGACAGTATCATCGTTTGCTCCTACAAGCAGAAAAGCCCCTATGACAGATACTGTTGTTACATCAATCAGAGCCAAGGCAGGTGGGACCATGAGACAATAGTCTAGGCTTTGCATCCAAGAGTCTCGGTGTTGATAGAAACAGGACTACACTCAGCTCCCAATGGAAGGAGACTGTCCTGCTCCAACAGCCTTCACACTGTTAGAAAAGGACTGGTATGTGATGGGTGTGCAAACCTCCAATGTCCGAGAGCCATGTAAATAGGCATGATGGGGACCTATTTTAGGGAAAAGTGACAAGGGTTAAGGACACTGGAAGAGGAAGAGGGTAAGAGAGGAAGCAGTTCCAACTGCTTTTTAAATCATGTTGGATCTTTTGTCAAATAACCGTAAAAGTGCTCCCCAGCACCAGCTGGAAGCAGATTCATCTAAAGTGAACTGCAGATACCAGACGTGAAATGATACATGAGCTCTCCTTAGGGAAATGAGCTGCTTTAGGTCTGAAGAAATTGAAAGAAAAAACATTTTACTGCTTCATTATATGAAATGATTCTTGATTGGTGAAAAATTGCTCAAACTTAGTTTTTGCTGAAGGAAAAAAAATCAAGGTAGAATATCCACATCTCTCCTTAAGTGGAATGGTTTTGGGAGGAAGCGGGGTTATTGGCAGTTGAATAATGTAGTCGAATTTTATGGTCTTATCCTCTGTCAAGATCAGGGATTTTAAACGAAGTAAAATAAGTATGACCAGCTTTGAGAACACTTGAAATTTTTAGATGGCTATGTTACTTCTTAAAGTCTCATTTCAATTGACTTAATGAGTCTTTATCTGGAGTGTTTTTAACATTGACTATCATTCATGCATAATTTCCTCATCAGGTGCAAAATGACTTGATAGAATATTTTCATAGCTCAGAATTTGTTTTCATCAAATCATAATGGACTTTACATGTTACAAGTGTCTGTAACATTTTGGGGAGACATGTGCTGGTAATTATTATTTCTATATGCCTTTTAAAATCTGAAGTCTATGAAGTTTTGAACTTTATGCAGGATTTACATGAAATGCAGTAGTTAAATTTCTGGAAATGTCATTATTTGTACATCTATTCAGTACTCCCCTCAAACTGTACATGCCAGTGAAACAAGAGTGATTCTGCCAGATTTAACTAAAATCCAGTTTTTATTAAGTTCACCTGATTCACGAACATTACATGACTAAGATTTATTTAGTTCATATTTAATTTTTTCCTGCTAAGGAAAAGCATCACAATGGGATCCTAAGATGTATTTCCTATTCACTGGGTGAATTGTAATAGATAAAAAGACAACCAGAATAGTATTTGATTCCTATTGAAAAGAAATATTAAATTATATTTCATCTTGAAGATCAGGATAATTTGGCATCCTTTAAAGAATAATAATTTATGTTTAATGATGAGATAGCTTCAACTACTTTCTCCCAGAAGGGGAACTGAGGACAAAAATTTGGGGCATATTCCTTTTGTATATTTCAGGTCCAGCTCGGCAATTCTTTAAATGTAGTAATTATTCTGCCTCGAGAGTTAGCTCTTCAAAAAATCAATTTTTAAATCAAGTTCAACATAAAGAGTATGTAATGATTTTTTAGTAGGACTTAAATATTGGAAAATGAGATATGTGATCCTAAGCATATTTTATCATCTCATACCTCAGTTCCCTGAATGGGGAGAAGTAGAACTGACTTGCACTAGATTATTTCTATCATTCATTCTCAGTTTGAATGTTCTATGGCACTATGTCAAAGGCATTTTATATATTGCCAGGAAATGAGTTATAACAAAATGCATGCCAAAGTTATGCAATTCATGATAACAATTATGCGACATGGATTGAATTCTTGCTACTACTCAAAAGAATTTTGTAGATGTATGAAAGCAGGTTTGTTTTATTACCAAATATTATTTATACCATTAAAATACATTTCTGGGAATAAAATGAAAATGTTAACAGAAAAATATTCTTGAGAAGAAAATGTTAAATATTGGTATAATGCCCAAATATTTTAATACATATCCTTGCACTAAATATAATTTACTTTGGATTTGGGGTGGGGTGGGGGTTGCAGGAGAAGGGGGAATAGTATCCTCAAATCATAATACCTCTTAATAATTCTCATGCATTTTTGAAAGTGAGAAATGAAAATTCTATGAGGATAAGAAATAAAAACTTCTTCAAATTTATGTGCCACTGTGGACATTTTTAGAGGCAAGGAGACAGTAAGACCTCAGAGAAGAATGTTCACAGAGATGCAGCAAACCTTACACAGGGTCTGAGAAGAGATGCTTATAGTATAAGGCATGGTTTGGGGTTAGGAAAAATTAATTTCTGATTTCTTGGAACTAGCTCAAACTCCTTTATAACACACACACACACACACACACACACACACACACACACTTCCAAACCCAATGTCAACTACTAGTTTAGAGACAGAAGGTATTTCATCACAGTTTCAAGTTCTGTTTCAGAAGAAACTTCAGGCTTCTTCTACCATCCACCTACTTAAGATGCTTAAGGCATCTAAGAATGCATTTGATGGAACTTTCTCTACTGCTAAAGTAATGGAACTTTCTCCACTGCTAAATAAATGTTCAGCTGGGAGACTTAACTTTGTTTGACCAGAAAAATAAAATGTGTGATTGTGTGTCTGGGTTTTTCTTAATATTGTATATTAAGCAAGGAAATGATATATATCCTTGCTTATAATATCAAGCTAGGAAACCTAGTGGCACAAATTCACACTTATTAAGTAGCATTCAGTAAAATGGTCATTCTTTTTAGCAGAGGTAAAAGAGAAAGAGAAATAGGCGAGAAAAATATCTGAGTCCTTTAGAGGAAAACAGAGCAGGTCATTCCAATGATCAATTTTACCAAATCATTAATATTAACAGCACAAGGATTGATCCTGGTATCCTTTAAGAGCTTTCGGACAAATGTAACTTTAAGTATTAGGTTGATTGGCTTCCTTTATTTTTAAATACATTTCCTTCACTTTGCTATTAATCCAAAGGGTTGTTTCAATTTAATTATAAAAGGCACTTCATTTTTTAAATTTTCTTTTGAAGTTTTCCATCTCTGTAGACCTGATAATTATGCACATGCATTCTTTAAAAAAAAAAACAACTGTTTATTGATTCCAAAGGGTGAATTCAGCCAAGATACCCAAGTTGGAGCATATTTAGAGCATATTTAGACAAGAGTTTCAAGTTTAGTTTCTACTGCAATCATCATGGCAAACAAAATCAAGAGATAGTTAAGTCCAGACTCTCAGCCAAATCCAGCTCCCTGTATCACAATTTCACTAAAGTATCTCACTACATATTTTGAATATGCCTCCAGTACTACAGATCTTAACATCCACTATGTAAGTAGTCAAATGCTCCATATTGTTGATTTTCTCTTCACTTGTGTAGACACAAAACATACAGTGAAAGACAAAATAAAGCTTCTTCAAAAATACCAGAGCCTCTATTTTTAAGGGTGAGAGGAGATAAAACTAGCGCTGTAAAGCATAAGATGAGACAGATTCCCAGATAAAGTTCCACTAGTGTGTATCTCACAATCCGACTATAGTGGTGTCCATCTTTGAGAACATAATGTCAAGCAAGCAAAATGAAAAAACAGATGTAGACAATAATACTTCATAATATTTCAAAAGCATTTTCTTAAAGTATCTCCCCAAATATTTTATAGTAAAAGGAATATGTATGTATACACTGTTACCTATTAGTGGCTCACAAATGAACTAGAATTTCAGGAATTCAATAGACTCTACCCATTAGTTTTCTATGTTTCAGTTGTTAGTGGAAACATTAAAGTGAAAATGGAGATGTGGACACATGCTTTATCTTAATAAAGGACTGAGTTCCACTCAGCATCCTATCCAAATAACATGACATCATGTTTACATGATCATGTCTGACCACGTAACATGTTACATGATCAGACATGATCATGTCTTTGATTTTTCTTCACCGACCACAGAGTCCTCACTCCATGGGCATCAAAAGAAGTTAATACGTGGTGCTGTCCAGATATCTAAGTAGGTAGGCACTGATATTAGATCTCCATGGTCACTGGCAAATTATTCTTGAATCTGATCCTTGTTTGAGATCCTTTCTTTATTTTTTCCTTTAGTCTTGCTCCTGATCACACAATAGTCTGCAGATTTGTTATTCTCAATAACAGCACAAGGCTTTTGCATATTTTATCCCTAATAAGTTATAGAGCGACAGAATGAACCAATTATAGGATAAAAAAGCTATTAAAACATCTCTAATGCTGCTCTTTGACAAATTTTTCCCTAGAAAGTTAAATATAAAAGATACTTTTCCAATTAATCACTCTTAATAATAAGGAACTCTCGTCTATAAGCAAGAATTTAGTCTGAACATCAGTTGGAGTTCGGTCTCATCTTCAGTCCTAGATAAGATCACATCTGTTTAAAAAGAACTAGGTTTTTGAAAAATGCCTGTCTGTAATTCAAAGTGAAAAGTATGAACAATTACCTTCTGGGTAAGTGATTAGACCATGACAGTGATTAGACTCAGAGTCCATCAGCCTCTAGACTTTTCCATCTCGCTGCAGCTTCTTGGGGGTTCACTAATTGCACCCTGCCGCTGACCACACTGAATCTTTGCCCCAACCATTTTCTCTTCCTCAAATGCCTGCTTCATCTTCACCCCTCTGCTTCTGCACATTAGTCCAGATATACTTCAAGGGGTAATTGCCACATCTTCCACAATTTTAGACTTTCCCACTCAGAGCAAACACCTTTATTGTTCCTTGGTCTGAAAACACCTCTACCACTGTCATTATCCCATCGCATGTAAGCCTGTCTCTCCAGCCACAGGGTGAGCTCTTTGAGAGCAGTGGTCATATTTTACTCATCTTTCCACTTCACCCTCTTACCCCCCGCCCACCACACACACACAATCTGCCTTTGTTCAGTGAAAACTGTATCGTACCATTTGGGTCACCCTCAAAGTGTACTTCCTCTTTCTGGCAGGAAAAAGGTCTGCCTTGTTAATTTGAATTAAATTCAATTAAATGTAATCAGGAACAATGTGGGTTGAAGTAGATTTCCCTGGAATGGAACCCTAACTTCCAGTTAGCATATTGTTTCTTTGGGTACACCCCATTTATATAACAAGGAGAAGAAAAAGATAAACCTTTCCAGAACATTTTCTTCTCCCTCTAGTCTCACTCCCTGCCTCCTTCCGTGGGTCAGTGGTCAAAAGGCATGCCTGACAAGAACAGGTGGTTCTAGGAGCACCTGACAATGAAGCATTTGAATCCCTGACCAGAAAGGAGTTGGATTAGTGTGCTCAGGGCAATCCTTTAAGTAGGTCAACAAAA